ATCTATCTATCCTGATACTATTTTTTTCTGGAAATGCAAGTACCAAATCAAAATAGTAAGAATGGTGAAAACTGGCATTTTTAGCTTAGTACTCGACAAACACATGAAGGTTTTAAGGGTACCGTTGTAAATCGGACATTACCTCCGTTGCATGAAACGGCACTTGAAATTAGGCTTTTAGGCCCTTTAAGCCTGTATTTTTAAATACTGAAAACTCCATGATATTCAAGTTTTAAATGAAAGAGAAATTTAAATTAAAAGCTTTATCAATGTCTCATGAATTTTGTAAAAAAAAAAATTTTGGGGGGGGGGTCTTTAATCCTACTCAATATATACTTAATAAATTTGTTATTTACATGTTTATCAGTATTTTAGAAATATTATTGTTGAATTTAATATCTAAGGTTTCCAGTCATAATTCCGTTACATGTAATTACGCGTAATTACACATAACACTTTCTTTCACTTATGGAGGAGCATTACGCGAAATTACGAGCTAATTATGTATATGAAGGAAAGTCTAGTTTTGCTTAATTATGGCGTAATTACGCGAAATGAGGTAATATGAAACCATTCTGTAATTAGTAAAGTACATATTAATTCACAGAAATGAATAAACATGGAAAATATGTGTAAAGATATGTGTGATACAACCATGTCCAATCTGATTAGATAATTTAAATACTTTCAAATTTAATTGAAATTCGTTTATGGTGATGGACCAAACCTGTATAGAGTAAAAAAGTAGATGTTAGCTCCACTTTTTATTGAAAATATTTTTCGGTCTAGGTTGACCATTGTTAGTCTAACAAGGAGTATGAAATAGCCAAGAGATACAACTGAAAAGGCCCGCCTTACCATATGATTATGCATGCTTTGCAGACGGGTACTCCATTTGTATGAAAGAAATATTCAGAATAAGTTATTGTATGCGCGCAGTAATTGTACATCAGACAAATATTTCTCCTTAGATATACCCCTCCTTAGACAAGCCGCCCCCCCCCCTGATTTACATAAAAGTTCGGTTTAATTAGATCGACCTCCACCACCACTTTAAACTCTATACATATTAACTAGTTTTTTATCTTCATTCGACAGAAACAATCTCAAGGAATACTAATTTTCTTAAAATATTTTTAAAAAGTGAATATTTGCAAATTATCTTTTTTCCATAACATGATCTGAGTTCGTTTCCCTTTTGTCCATTTGACAGCCCATTTAAATTCTTTTTTAAATAGTCTTTTTTGTTTGTTTATTCTTTTATGGTTTTTAACATCGATGGTTTTTATATCGTGCGAACTAGCCGGCTTACCAGACCGAAATATATTTTCAATAAAATGTGGCACTAACATCTACTTTTTTTCTCTACAGAGGTTTGGTTCATCACAATCACCGAATTTTAATTCAATTTGAAAGTATTTAAATTATTCAANACAATTTCAGCCCGCTTTTCTTCTTTGTTCTCCGATAACGGAGTATAAACGTTTATCAATTGTGAACCATTTCAAAGTTAAACAAAAACATTTCTATTTAAAGAATTAGTGACTTTCATCAACATTTAATTGTCAATCTTTTCAGAAGTTTTAATGTATAAAAAGCGTCTTCGGACTTTTCGACAGATAGTCCCACGAATAGGAAAATAGATCGTAAGAATCTTTTCATTATAAATTTGTAAACCCTGTAATAATTATTTATCATTATTCATTTCATTTTTTTTAGGAAATACAGAGTTTTCTGCATTATCGATTTTGATTTGAGGGTTATTCCTTGTCTATCTGTTCATCGTCAGAATCTTGTTCCTTAGAGACAACAAAAGTACATATTAATTCTCAGAATTAATCATAGCGGGACAGTATGTGTAAGGATATGCCTGCTACAACCAGGTCAAAAATATTTTGACGATTTTATTGACATCTTTTTCAAACAAGGAAGGTAAACTTGAGAAAGTAGGTTGAAATATCAGTGGCGTAAAATAGTTATTGGGGTTATATACCCCCCCCCCCTAGAATCCTAGGGCCCCTAGAATTTGTTTTTAAAAAAGGTTGATTTTAAAATTGAATATCTTTAAAATTTGCACGAAAATAATTCAAATGTGCAGATACTTTGAATTATTTTGGTGAAATATTCTAAGTTTGAAATATCAAAGGTTTACACCACTCGGTACAAAGATTTAGGGATTAGAATATTTGAGTTTGTGGCAAAAACTCAGTTCCAAATCTAAAGAACATCTTGGCAAACTTCTGACTGATTATCATATTTGATAACCTGTTTATCTTCTTTAAATCTAAAATAAAATAAGATTATAAATGTTGGTTAGAATGATTAATCATATATTCAATAACTTCAGGAGAAAACGTAACATTATCTCTCTTTTTTCAATGTAGNAATTACGCGAAATTACGCCGTAATTTCACGAAATGAATATTTCCCCTATTACATGTAATCCTGCGAAATTACACGAAATGAAAATTATTACACGTAACTGCACGTAATTACGCGTAAGAGAATTATCTATTACGTTGGAAACCCTAACTTAGAATGCATTCTTGAAAATAAGAACACGTTAACAATTTTAACTGTTCTTTTCAAGCAATTCCCGTTCCATTCCGCTCTGGTCATACAAATCGTTCTAATATTTTTAAAAACGCGTTCTAAGCGTTCGTTTTTTTCAGAATAATGGGATCATTCTTGATCGTTCCATTCGTTCTTAGGAAAGAACGATTGTTCCACCAGGAACGCGCCCAGCACTATTTTACACATATTTTCCCGCTATATTATCTCTGAGAATTAATATGTACTTTACTAATTAGTAATTACAAAATTGTTTTGTATTACGCTTTAATTAAGCAAAACCAGACTTTCATATTTGTAATTTGCACGTAATTTTGTGTAATGCTCCAAAGTAAGTGAAAGAAAGTTTTACACATAATTACGCAAAATTACATGTACCCTAATTATGACTGGAAACCCTAAAAAATACGGAATTAAAGTTTACAATTAAATAAAAACTTTTTTCTGTTCATTCCTCTGAGATCAGTCATAACACCTCTGATGTATTTGGATTCTCGTACTTAAGGTAAACTTCAATTACAAGGTCCCAAACCTTCTCTATAGTAAGCTAACTTTTAAATGGTTAGAGTTCATGTCCAGGAAGGTTCAAATCTTCTCCTGTTGGCTGGTTTGTATGGAGGTTTTGCTAATAAGGCGTAATTATTGCAACATTTCACACAATCACTTTTGTAGAAATTATGTGAAATTACAGTGTAATTTTGCGAAATCAAAGTTTCAGTAATTACAGGTGAATACTACAAAATTTCATGAAATAAGGTTGTAGAAATTATGTGAAATTACGCTTTAATTTCGTGAAATTGAAGTTTCGCCAATTTCTCGAAATCCTGCAAAATTACACAAATGAAAATTATTTCACTTAATTGCACATAATTTCGCATAAGTAGTACGATGGAAACCCTTTTTAAATCTACTCTCAAAAGTGGTTTCCAACCTCCTGAGGCTGCTTATGTGGAAGGGGCCGTGATTTCTAACCCTACATTTTTTCAGGCTAGTGACAGCCGTGTTGAACTACCGGTCACGTCTTTTAAAATCTTTGATTAGTATTTTCTACCTGGAAAGAAGATATCCTGCCCCTCCGCTCACTGTTCCCCCTGGTACTATTTTATTATAGTGAGCACCGAACAAGGTTGGGATATCAGGGTCATATAGAGCTAAAACATCAATTAATACAATTTTTACCATGACACCCAGAAACCCATGGTATAGGGATACAACCACACTGCTCAACTGCTTGTATTACTTAAGTACAACAGTTGTCTTCCTTTTCCACAGTTTTATGGGTCCCACACTATGAATTTCATTGAATTACTATAACCAGGAATTTTTATTCAAAAAGGTAGTGAAAAACAAAGCATATAACAACTAAGTTTAATTGCAGCTAAGTTTGATTGCAACTAAGTTTGATCGGAACTAAGTTTGATTGGAACTAAGTTTAATTGGAACTAAGTTTGATTGCAACAAAGTTTAATTACAACTAAGTTTGATTGCACCAAACCTCTATTGCAACTAAGTTTAATTACAACTAAATTTGATTGCAATTAAGTTTGGTTGCAACTAACTTTGATTACAACTAAGTTTGATTGGAACTAAATTTGATTGGAACTAAGTTTGATTGCAACAAAGTTTAATTACAACTAAGTTTGATTTCAACAAAGCTCTATTGCAACTAAGTTTAATTACAACTAAATTTGATTGCAATTAAGTTTGGTTGCAACTAACTTTGAATACAACTAAGTTTGATTGGAGCTAAATTTGATTGGAACTAAGTTTGATTGCAACAAAGTTTAATTACAACTAAGTTTGATTTCAACAAAACTCTATTGCAACTAAGTTTATTTACAACTAAGTTTGATTGCAACAAAGCTCTATTACAACTAAGTTTAATTACAACTAAGTTTGATTACAACAAAACTCTATTGCAACTAAGTTTAATTACAAATAAGTTTGATTTTAAGAAAGCTCTATTGCAACTAAGTTTATTTACACCTAAGTTTGATTGCAACAAAGCTCTATTGCAACTAAGCTTAATTACAACTAAGTTTGATTGCAACTAAGTTTGATTGCAACTCAGTTAAATCACACATAAGTTTGATTACAACTAAGTTTGATTGCAACTAAATTTGATTGCAAATAACTTTTATTGAAATTCAGCATGATTACAACTAAGTTTTATCAAAACTAAGTTTGATAACAACTAAATTTGATTGCAACTAAGCTCGATTGCAACTAAGTTTTATACCAACTAAGTTTGGTTGCAACTAACTTTGATTACAACTATGTTTGATTGTAACTAAGTTTGATTGCCGCAAAGTTTAATAACAACTAGTTTGATTGCAACAAAGCTCTACTGCAACTAAGTTTAATTACAACTAAGTATGATTGCAACTAAGTTTGATTGCAACTAAGTTTAATTATAGTTAAGTTTGAATGCAACTAAGTTTCATTACAACTAAGTTTGATTGCAACTTAGTTTGATTGCAACTAAGTTTGATAAAATAGTGATTTTTATCATAAAGTTACCAAGCATTGCATGAAGATTTTCCATTATTACATAAGTATCATCATCCGCCTTCAGAATCCAATCAATCTTAGAAATTATTAGAAATACAAAGCTTTCACAAAAAAGTGTTTTAGATATTCTAAAAAATTTGATTAAGGTAACTTATGATCCAGACACTAATATAAAGTTGCTCCAGTTTTCAGGAATTGGTAGACTTTAAAGTGGCACACCCCTTCGACCTTTGATTTTACCTTACTAGCTCAAGTATACTTTTTTGTAGACATATAATTGTATATTTGTTAACTATAATGCACTTTTTAGCTTTAGTTTTCAGAAGTAATTTGCAAAATTCGTATAAATTTTGTCGTGGGAGCTTGCAACCTTTGGATTATTGTAAGGGAGACCTAAAACTTTTAAATTTAAAAGCTATAATCTATGTTATAAATTTGTAGATATTAAATAAATCATCTTTTGAATTTATTTTTAACAAAAATATATTTGTAAAAATCCAGATTTTTTGAGGGACACTCTGCTCAATTGTAATTTTCTATTCTAAGCAGGAATGCCTGACTCGACAATGAGCTGATTAGACTTGAAGGTTAAGTCATGGCTGAACCAGCATTCAACACATATTCATAGTGTATTTTCTTTCGGGTTAAATGGAGAGAAAAGGGGGGGGAGTCTGCAGCCCCATCTTTAATGGTGCCATACCAATAATTTCTCTTCCTTTACTTTTATACATGTTTGATGAAAAAAAATTTGATTTCTCTACCTAACTTTTAAGTTTCTGTCCGTCAACATATGTTCAACTATGACTATGAGCCAGCCAATTACAATAAAGAATCTTTTAAATGGACCAATGACAGCACAGCTTGGTGGCACCGGGCACCAGGGCTCTTTTGCTCTATTGCATATTTTTTCACTAAATTTTCTTTTTTTTCGTATAATTTTTGAATTTTTCACAAAATTTCAAAATAATTTTACGCAAAATTTTGCATTATTATTTTGCAAAACTTTTGCCTTCTCTCTTTTGCGAAAAATTCGCATTTTTTCACACAAGATCAAAGTGAAATTTCACAAAAAGCTAAATTTTTAAGTTTCTGAAAGAGCAAACAAAACGCAAAAATTTTCGCGAAAAAACTTTTTTCATCCGAAAAATGCGAAATTTCATGAAACGATTTTTCCTTTCCGCTGAAAAGGGGGGGAGGTGAAGGAGTTGGAAGATTGGAAAACATCAGGAAGGGAGGGTATCCAGGAACTCCCACAGCATATAAAATGGGAAGTTGTTGGCTTTGTGGCTCAGAATGTGGCAGGCATTTTCGAAAGTAGTCAGTTCTTCATAGTCAGCTGAGTATCGGAGCCGGTAAAAAACCGGCATCTAAGTGCATGGTTAAAAACCTTTCTATTTTTCTTGTTTTTGACCAGATGTACTGCTTGTTTTTGGCCAGATGTACTGCTTGTTTGAAAGGTGTTAAGCCGACATGTTTTAATTTTGCACAGGGGCTTATGTTAAACCACAGTGGACTAGGGTCAATTTGAATTCCAACTCTTTAATATATGATAAAAAATATAAATATACCTGATCTATATGATGTTTATAAGCAAACTTAAATCCAAACTTTGTTTTAGACCATAGGTTAGCGTAGGTCTCCTAGACACAAATATAATTGGTATTTGACCTACAGTGTTCTACTGAGCATGATATTTGACTTACAGTTTTGAATTTTGTATTGTGGTTTCATGCAAATTGCAATACAGTGGCTTAAAACCATGAAAAAGGCTTGTGGATTCTTTAAATTAAGCATTTTCCATTTTAAAGCAAGAAAAAAGGACAATTTCTTCAACATTATTAGATTAAAGTTTAAAAAATGTGTAAAATAATTTAAACAAATTTTCAACGAGGGTTCCTTAAAAGATACTGTTTACAAAAATGACGCTTATTATACCTTAGCTGGATTATGAAGGACTGGTAAACCAAAATCTCCCAGGTCTGACTTGAAATTTTTTTTTTTGTAAAACAATATCTATTAGCTTCAGACTAATCACAAAATAGTTTTATGGGTCACTAAAATTGTTATTTAGAGTACAGGGGACTTAGGAAATTATGGTATAGGATGTTAGATTTCAGTTATTTAAAAGTAGTCCATTGAACACTACAACACAACACTGTTCTAAGAGGAGGAAGGCAAACCACAACAATTCCTAATCTTAGCCACATTCTTTTATTGTCCGAGCCACCTCAAAATACTTGACATTTCAAAAATATTATTTTTAGGTCTACATCCTTCAAGATGAGAATATTTTTTGAAAATCTGGCCATGTTAGGCCTTTAGGGCTTAAAACATGGTTAGACTAAAGCTTTCCAATTATTTTATAATGTTGGATTCTTTAGATCCATGAGAATGATGTCAAACTTTATTCAGGCTAAAACTTAAACCTTTTCTGCCTCCAAAATGGTTAACTTTATAATTAAAATGTATATCAAAGTATTTACTTGAACATGGTCTATAATCTTTTCATTTCAACCCATATAAAAAATCATGGATTTCTCAAATACTTACAAAACAGGCAAATTTTTGTTCTCCTACCAAGATCACTATTGCCTGTCACACTATTATATCCAACTGAAAATAATGTTTAATTTAAATTATCTAAATCATTTACTACAATCAATTCGCCACAACTCTATGAATTCAAACAGTATTTAAATCATTAAAGAAATGGGGGTGAAAATGAAGTGAAAGATTAGAATTAGTTGTTTTGATTGAATTTCACAATAATTTTCAGCAATCTATGCGAAAAAGGTTTACTGCAGACGGATGAATATGGTTTTGGGAGCATATACATTTTTTCACAAATTTAAAATATGTAAGAGAAAATTCAATATTTCATTTATTCCCTAACATGAACAGATTTTTTAAACATGTTCTTATCTTCAAGGATTGGACACTTGAAAAATTATTTTTAAAAGGACAAAGATTTTGAGGTGGCTCAGATAAAAAATGAGGAGAATGTGGCTCAGACTAGGAATTGCTGTGGTTGGCCTTCTGCCTCTCCTGTTCTAAAGACTGATCTTTAAAACTATTTTGTGTATAACAATATCCTGCAAATACTGCAGGTTTGTTAAATGTCATATTCCTATTCCTATTCCTATTCCTATTTATAAACGAATGAATTTATAAATCATAATTTTAGAACTTTGTGATCCACAGATCCATGCATAGCTTTTAAAAATTGATCATTATCCACAAGGTTTTCCATCAGAGTACTGTAAATCACTGCAATACACACCAAAAGCTGAGTTGAGGGTGTGATATATATTTATTATGCAACAAAACTTGTAAAATTAGAGTCTCCTAAACCGGTCTCATCTAGCCTTGACAATTAGTAATTAAATTACAGTTGTGATCATAAAATAATGGACGGAAGGTTTGATGGCCACAAACTCAAAGTTGCTAATAAATGAATTTATTTTTAACCTACAAAATACAGTTTTAATACAAATAAAATATTGGTATAAAATTCATTTTAATAATTAATTGGGTAAATTACTAATTGAATTTGTCACTGGTAATTAAGGAGTAATTTTAGATTGGAGGATGTGATTGGATCAGTCTAAACATTTGGATGTTACTTCTGAAAATAAATATCAAGTAGAATTGCTATGGATTGCAGAATTATTCATGGATTGTAGGATTTAAGTATTCTATATCTATCCAGGTGATGGTGTTGGAAGGGACAGGCCGCTCTATACCAGATGATTCTGGGTCAGGTTACTTTGGTATGGAACCACTCAATGTGGTTCGTGTTCCACTTCAGTGGGGAAGAAGAGGTGGTTGTCTTCACCCAGGAGGATGGAGATCTGGCTGGTGTGGTACAAGGTTTATGTCCTTGTGAATGACCCTCACCCTGGAAGAGGTCCCTCGGGATTGCATGGAGGGTGGAAGAATTTGGAAGGCTGATTTGGAGATCAGATGGCCATTGTTGTACTGGATCCCTAGAGAGAAATCTCCCATGGGTATGTTCTACCAAGGGAATGATCTGTCAGAGCCCACCTTGGATGTAGAGATGTGGGGGTCTGGTTGCTGTGCATGCAGGCACACCTTGGAGTTCCTATTGTGGAAGAATAATTTGCATCTGAAGGCTGGGTTTTGAGTATGGGAACAGCCAGGGCAAACATGGTTGTTGGAAATGAATTTGAGGATTTCAAGAGAACTAAATTTGGCAACCCTGCACTGGAGGTTGAGGGTATAGTGATCAGATTGGAATTCCTTGACAGTGCATAGGGTGCAGGGACGTCTGGGACACTCAGGCAAACAACCAGAGGAATGAAGTGTAGGTTTGGTCTTAGCACTGAGAGGTCATAAAGAACTGGTTTGACCCCTATACTTGCAAGGGGGTTATCGAGTTTGCAAAGGTTGTTTACAAACTGTGTAAGGAATAAGAATGTTGCCAGTGGTCAGACATTTGCTGTGCATTGATCACGAAACTCTTTAATTGGTCATTCAAAGACAACCTCACTTCCATAGGTAGACTTCTTATGATATTCATGACCAGTTGTTGAGGTAGGGTGATGCTGTGGAGGTGATCCACGTTGTGAAACTGCTGGATGATCTTTATGTTGGAAAGTAGAGTTCAGCAATTTCTTGATAGAATTCATAAAGGGAAGGAGTCCAAATTTTGGTTGAGGTCTCTGCCAATGCTCTTAAATTTTTCAATTAACCTGGATTTGAAGTTGATCTAGTTTGTTGTTGTTGAGGGGTCCCCTCTTGTTAAATAGGATGGCTTGGAGTGTGAAGACAGGACCATCTATGCTCTTCTAGTCAAGGAGAATCCAGACAGGATGGAGGAAAGCCAGGGAGAGAAATTTTGGATATCATGGTATTTTCACATTAACAAATTTGAGGAGCTAGAAAAACGACATTATTCTCCATACTATTGATTGTAAACAAGTAATGTTCCTCTTCAAATTGAGGGTTACATGAAATTAAGGCTCCAACCTCTTTAAATCATGTTTTTTTTTGACTGAGACTAAACTCATGACCAAACAGTAATTATAATTTTGAAGAGAATAGGAATATGGGGAATTCCCCAGATTTCCAGGCATTTGGGGAATTTCCCAGATTTCAGATATTTGGGGAATTTCCAAAATTTCCAAAATTTTTATAGAAATTGGAGGGCGGTATATTTTTAAGATTTTGTAAATTTCTCAAATGACTAGATTAGAATTTATGGAATCTGAGGATTTTCCCAATTACCCACGCCTTTGATAAATTTCCCAAATACCCAGGCATTTGGGAAATTCCCAGATTCCTTAGGCATTTGGGGACTTCCTCAAATTCCCAGGCATTTTGGAAATTTCCAGTTTTGAAATCTCCAGTTTTGACAATTCTTTAAATTGATGTCACTCCCTCAGGAAACTGGACTTGATATCATTTCTAAATTTTGCTTATCAGGCAACAACTTAGAGACATCACATTATTTACTTACATACCTTTGTGCTTAAAAAGTACAAAAAAGTGCATCGACTTCCCCATGTATCATATACTCTAAATCAAAAACAGTGAATAAGTGTGATATTTGTTGATATTTCTTTTAAACACAAAATGTCAAATATCTGAGTACAGTGAGACCCATAAAACTGTGGAATAGGAAGACAACATTTAAGCAATGTTATGTGTTTATAATTGATGCCAGCTTTAAAAGCATATAGTTTTACAAGCAGCATGCAAATCAACCTTTTGAATGAAATGGGTTTATCTTAACAATGGGCTGTACTTTATGTTCATATGATCATTATTCAAATTAAATCATACTTGATTCTAACAGCTGTTTTCTATTCCATACTTTTATCGGGTTTGCTGTTTTGATACAGGGCTTAAAAATAATCATTTTAACAAAAATTCTTGTTGAAAAAAAGTAACCAATATTTTAATGCTTTCTGGAATAATTTATCACAGGTAACATTGTTGCACATAACAGTTAACATTGTTGCACATAACAGTTAACATTTTATCAATTAACAGTTAACATTGTATCAGTTTACAGTTAAGATTGCATCAGTTAAAAATTAGCATTTTATCAGATAACTTACGCTTGTGCTTTTGTGCTTAATGTAGCTGGCCTGGTTAGAATGAGACAAAGCAATCTGTTAAAATAAAGACATTTTATAACAAGTCTTTCTTCTTTAAACAACAATAAATATGTTTTTGTCTGCTTTGGTTAATTTCTGACAGTTTTTTAAAAACTAAATTTTCTAAATGCAAAGTTTTACAATTTTGACATTTAACATGGGGCCATGTAGGGTTTTCAGTAAAAGCAAATTTTCATGGAAAAATGCACAAGAGTGTCAGGATCCTTTTGCAAGAGTAACAGCAATACTAGAGAAACCCAAGCACACAGATGTAATTCAGATAAGTAAGGATTACCTTGATGCAAAGGTGATGCAGATGAGGACAACTATGAGAAAATGGTTAGATTTGAAACTGCTCTTAAGAAAAGAATCCTGTATTTTATAAAGAAAGCTCTGAAATATTCCGGAAAATCCAAAAGAAGTGTTTACCTGGTGTGAGAAATTGGAAGATCATATGTCCAATCAGTGGCAAACAATCCCAAACGTTATTGTTGTGTATAAAGGGAGAGACTAGACAAGAGTACCGTTGCAGCCTACAGGAGAGAAACTAGCATTCAATACATTTGGAACAGGAGAGTTCTTTTCTGAATTATTGAAGAAATTCTCCCAGGAAAGAGATAAAGAAGGTAGGAATACAACAACAAAAGACAGACAAGAATTGAAAATCCACAAAACAAGTTATGACTATGGATACAAGCATATGCTCCAGCCAAGTAAACACTGTCAGAGTCCAAAACTTTAATGATTTTGGGGTTGTACCATGTCCAATTGTGGAGAGCATGTCTACAGTTTAAGCCTAAGGTACTGCAAAATGAGAACAAGATTAAGGAAGTGCTAGATTATCAGCTGTATAACCTAAGAATAATAAATACCTAGATCTTCAGCAGCTTCTCATGACATAGCTGGGTTGACAAGCTCATTTAATTTAGAATCAGAGAATAGAAACATGAAAACGAATTAAATGTGGAGAACAGGGCAAGTTCCTATGGAGGTAAATGCAATGTCTGGCTTAGTAATCTGATGAATCATATAGAGAGGAAAGTTATGGAGATTTCTATTTAATGCAGCCTGAAAAAGTTGTTTCTTCTCCAAAGGTACATGTCATATGAAGCGAGACTTAATGAAGTTTGCAGAAGGGGGTAAAAACTGCCACCTATTAGTGATGAGTGAACAGAGAACGTTAAGCCTCAGAGCAAGTTAGAAGAGAAAGTGATTAGTTGGGAGGAAAAGTATAATAATAACAAACTTGAAAAGTATGGAAAAGTAAAAGGAAAAACTTTATATGTGAAATAATCAAGCATGAGACTGATGGTTTAGCATTGGTTGATACTGGGAATTTAGTGACTAGTACTTTAGTTTCTATAGAATTCTGGGAAGCAGTAGATGTAAAAATGTCAGGAATAAGCAACTTATGGGTAGGTACAGCAGAAACAGTATGATAAGGACTTAAAAATGTTTGGGATAGGAGAAAAGTTCAAATTCTAACACTACAGACTAGATCAAGTATACAAAGTTGAACCTATAGTGATAGAAGGTTTTAATCATGCAATTAATTTTGGATTAGAATTCTTAAAACAAAACAAAGTGAATTCTGCAAGTGTGAAACAAGAAGTAAAATTAATAACTAGAAAAGGAAGTAAAGAAAAATTCAGGATACGTAGTGCCAAAGGTGTATTGATTTCTTTAGAATGACCGGTTTCAAACTATCTCTCTATATAAACTGTGTTTTCTTTAATTCTTTATTCAGATGGTGTTACTTGGTAGAAGAGAGTTTGGATGTTTAACTGAAATAGATTGAAGTATTATAGCAACAATATAACATTGATAAGAACAATTTTTATAATGATTTCATATAATTACTTACACGAATGTCATCTATTAAGAAAGAAATCAAAGTAAGTTTACATCAGCGTCCATGGTTGGTTTAGGCCTTACTGAAGCTTTACTCAGGATCCAGGCATACATATGAGCGTGCGTGTAGCAATTTGAAATGTACATATTCTATATAATAAAATGGGAGTAGATCAAATGCCTAATTTCTAAACAAAAGGAACCCTATTTCCCATGTGAAAGAAGACAGACTGGAAAGAAGTGCATGCAAGTAATCCCTTCTAGTTGGAAAGCAGACCCCAGAGAAAGTGTTCATTCCTGCAGGAACTGCAAAACTAGTAAAAGTCAGAAAAGAAGGAGAATGGAGGGGAGAGGTTTTTGTAGAATCCATTCTACCGGAAGAACAAAACACAGAAAGAAAATTAGTGCTTCCAGAAACTATCTATAATTTGAGTCAATGAACCAGTTATCTTAGTGAAAAACCACACCAAAGTAAAAGTAGAAATATGTCCACATCAGAGATTAGGGACAATTTACAGGTTGGAGAATGATAAAAGGTCCTGGCTTAAAGAAGAGTTAAGAGGAAGTCATGAACCATAAATAGAAGAAGGAAGATGATGAGAAACATTATCAAGAAATTTTAATTCAATACAAAGATTTATTTCTCAAAAGCTTCAAGATAGATGAGAACAGGATATTAAACAAAAAGCAAAGATGAAAAATTGAAAGAGGAAGTGAATAAAAATGTTAATAATTTTTTGGGGAAACACGGAGCATCCAAGAAAGGTAGTACAAGCTCATACTAAAGCAGGAATCAAGATACAGCCAAAGACCAAGATTTTTCAGTTGGAAGTGGAGTACTTAGGACATAAAGTGAGTAAAGATGGAGTGCAAATGTTGGATGATTATATCAAGGACGTACAAAAATAGCCACAACCAACTTGTTGTAAAGAGATTACTTGGATTCAAAGGATATTAAAGGATTTCATTATGAGTTACTCAGCAGGAAAGATCCAGGCATATCCGGACTTTGACTCCAGCAGGCCTTTTATACTCACCACAGAGTAGTCTGCTTTGAATATTGCTGGTATACTGTCACAAAAACAAGCTGGAGTAGAGTGTTTTATTGGTTGCTCGGGTAGCAAGTGAAACAAATATGAGAAACATTATCCATCTTTAAAAGGAGAACAATTGATTAAAAGAAGCGTTCCAGATCTGCCATGAAGATGACGATGTGATATCTGCCTGACCAAAGAAGTATCAAAGCCATGATGGGACCTCATATGCCAAGTACAGTATAAAAATAAAAGGAGAAAAAGTCTTTATCTGGTTTCATTATACCAACCAGTAAGAAAGAATAGATATTTGTTGACAGTGCAAGATGGATTCACAAGATTTGCCAGTGCTAATCCAATTTGTAACAAGGAAGCTAGTGTAGTGGCAAGAGTTCTTATTCGAGAACATTTCAGCGTATTCAGTTTACTAAACCAGATAGACTTCAACACCGGTGGAGAGTTAGTCAACCAGTGTGGAAAGACTTATTTAAAGTTGAAGATATTGCATACTAAGACAACACCATACAATTCATGTCTTAGAACTATAGTGGGTATTCTGAGAGCAATGGGAAGAGTGATGCAGGATGAATGGAATCTGGGTGTGAAGGCCTACAACACCACCTTGCAGACCCCATTCTTTACCATGTTTTGATGGGAAGCTACACTTCCTGTTAATTGGATATGTTCTGTAAATAAAGCTGACAAATGCTCAAATCTTCAAATAGATTGTGTCCCAGTTCAAGGTTGGGAAATGGGTCTGGGTTTTTTATCTGAAGATTGTACCTGGAAGTTGTGACAGGTTAAGATCATATTGGGCTGGACTGTACCAGATTATAAGAAAAATATCTCCAGCATTAGAAGAAGTAATGACAGTGTACAGACTGGTCCGCATAGATTTATTCAAAGAATTCAGAGGAGATAATGGAGTTCATGGATTTATCACATCCATTCTGCACTATTGCAAACAGATGAGTTGAGAAAAGTTCCAAATCTCATGCTAACCCCAGCAGTTAATCCCATTCCAGAAAACCAAGCAGAACTTGATAATGGAATTATTGAGAACTATACAACTAGAGTAGTAAAAGCACCCCCTTTCCCCCTATCAGTCTGGAAGATGATGAAGTAGATATGGAAAGATCGAATAAGTTCATGGAAAACCCAAGACGTAGATGGAGTTGAGTAGTCAATCAGTAACAAATGTTCAGATATCATTCTAGAACCAGACATCAACATGGATAGATCAGATATTACCAGAACACAGAAACAACAGAGAAATCAGCAACAAGGAGAGTCCAAGTGGAGACATAGGAAAGGGATGAAAGCATTCAAATAGAGGTTCCATTTGTATCCTATAATGTCAATAATGAAATGTGCCCATTGGTAAATTTGTAAATCATTATTGTCATTAACCCATTCAATATGCGTAGATATTTTTAACTCTGTCATAATCATAAGGTAATTAATTCATTTACTACATTATACATTATATATACAACATTGCATAAATTGTAATTATGCTGTAAAAGACCCAATTCATATCTAACCTGAAGAAATATACCAGTTGATATGGAAACTCAGTACTGTTTACTGCCAGAGAGTAATTGTTCCTTGTTTTGGTAAACAAGTCTAGGATCGTGCTGTTTGATTTTCCATTGATAATTGCGAGCATCTGATTGATAATAATAGCTAAGGAGATCGCGCCCATTGCTAGTGGCGTTGATAGATCATCAGATTGTATCTGTGTGGTTCCCTGTTTTGATAAACATGGTTGAGGATTGCTTAACTGCGTTATTTATGTATATTGTAATGATATTACACTATTAAAGACCCAATTCATATCTAACCATGAAGTTTTTGGGATTGTAGCTGTGTGTTGACATTGATGGTCAAGAGAATCTTAGTTGTACCTGGATAAATACGGTTAAAGAAAGTGAAGAGAATTGTACTTGGATAGACACGTTTTGAAAAACTGTTATGGTGTAAGATTTACTACTCTTGTCTTTATTTCCTGATTGGAGATCTGTTTGGTTTAAACTGCTTAAACTCATTGCTGAGATGATATTTGTATGATGTCTGGTTCATTTCTTCTCCTAAATATAAAATCATGTTAATATTTATTTTTATTGTCTACATGTCTGTTTCTAGCTTAAGTTTACAAGGAGTAATTGACAAAATACTGCTTGATTTTTGTGTGAGAATGCACATCTCGATTAACAGTGAAATGTCAAGATTTTGCGTAAAATAACGCTAATCTTAAAAGCTTGAATTTGCTATCCACTGTGACAACTTTTAAATTTGAGGGAATTGTGTTTGGTCCTGGCAGTAATTAACGTCAATGAGCATTAACCATAGATTAATCAAAATAATAGATAGGAAACTAGATGTCGTCTTCTCAAGATTTTGGGGTTTTCGTTTACAATAACAGTATGGCAGAAACCAAAAGAAGTTATGCGCAGTCGGCCTTAGAACAGGCTCTCTCTCTGTCTTGTAATTCTATGCAGCATGTGCGTACACTCTAAGAAATTTCAAATTTTCATTTAACAAAATTTGTCGAGGCACTGGAATCAAATACACCTTAGCAGAATCATTCCTCAAATTTTGTTGAATGTATTTTCAGTCGCCTTAATTCAAAATTTGTGACATGATCTATCAACAAGTGTTTGTCCGCTTGCTGTGCCGCCCGAGCCGCGCCTTAATATAATTATCATCTCACAAAGTTTGTTTGATGTCGATTCAACCAGCGACACTGCGGTGTTTAAAAATTAGCATGTGTCAAAATTTGTCAAATGTCCCTTCAACTTACTGCGCAACTATGTAATCATTTGTTATATGATTAATTAGCTTTGAATCTTGACCCGTCAAAAGAGGTTGTTACAGGTGGCGCCACCTATTCTCTCAAAATTTGTTTTAACTAGATTCAAAGTTTGTTGATATACTTAAAAATCCGGCTGTTATGCAAAATTTCAATTTTTTAATACAATTTATTTGTTTTTAAAACCTATAAATTGGCAAAAATGCAATTGATAAAAACAAAAATTTAAACATCATAGGTTTAAAGTTTATATCACATTTTTTTTATAATACAAATACATGAAATAACAAAGTATGAATAGGCAGAAATAAAAGATCTTAATACAAAGCTTTAAAGTAACATGCAGCATAAATTTACACTTTATTACAATTCAAGCCTTAAAGGACAGGGCATCAATTGATCACCAATTTAGACAACGTATTTGATTCTTGTAGAAGTAGATTTTGCAGTCTGAATTATGGAAGATTTGGTTTTGCATTGATACTCTCTTTCAAGCAAAGCATTGAAAATTCAAGCATTAGTTTGAGAGAGTGTACAAAGGCTTAAACAAGTTTTAATTTTGTTTTTCCAGTTTCTTGGAGGTTTCCCTTTAAATCTTTTTGATATCTCCAAATTTCCAGATCGAATTGACATATGGTGCTGTCAGCTAACGGACTAAACTGTTACTAATTAGAAATTCAGCTGATTCTCCCCCTCCTAGCCAGACGTGCGAGCCGTGCCAGCCCGGCAAATGGTTCAACGTTTGCTTGATCTTACACGACAAGATTTGTTTAATCTTACACAAAACTAAAATATCGGCTAATTACAATGAAAGAAAACTGTCACATGACAAAAGAAAGATGTTATGTAACAAAGTTTAACACATGCTGAGAGAACAATGTGTAAGCTTTTAACAAGTTTTGTTAGATTGTAAATTTGGAAAATATTCAACAAAATTTGAGTAATGAAAGAAGAAATTTGAAATATGAAAGAAGAACTTTGATGCCTGATGCTAAAGACCAAAATTGCATTTTTTAGAGTGTAGCACTTTTAGGGGTCTGTCTCAGGATTACTGGTTTTGAATTAGAGTACAAAAATGACTGAAAACAATATTTCATTATACATAGCTTAATCTACATTGCAACTTTAATGTTTTGATTGGTGCATTTTATATAGATTAATGTCTACATTTTTTCCAGACACACATGCTAAATTTATATAAATGCATTGTAGAATAGAAACATAAATTTTAACAAACAAAATGAGAAAAAATCAATTTATATTTATTACCAACATTCTCGTCTTCTAAGTCCATAGTAGAATTTTGAAAAAGTGTTTTCATTGTCTGTGTAACATTTTCTGTTTTCTTCCAATGTAATAATCCTCCACTGCAAAAAAGAAATAATAGCAAAGTTTTTGTAAAGAAGATCTTCACGGATTAAAAAAAATTGTAAATAAAAATTTTCTTATTATTTTGGACTCTTACATTTACCTTTGATAATTGAACAATATCTTGGTCCCAAAATCATTTGGCATTCCTGAAAACCTTTATTAACTGGTAAAGTATAGATTTAGTCTAGATTTTATTTTTAATAAATATATTCACCAAAAAAAAGTGGTACATACACATAGACTGCAAGCTAGAAGAAAACATTTTATGTATTGATCCATCTGCAATATGAGCTATTGATATAATAAAAACATGGACATTTTAACTAAATTAGCATTAAAAGTCTAGAAGGACCATAGGAAGAATCTTTTTTTAAATGCATAAGGATGTATAGATGCGTAGTTTTATATACTTAATTGTAGACCATAAATTCAATTTGAGACCTTTTCCAAAAAATGTTGTCTTTACCAGCCGAGTCCAAACCAAACACTTTCGCCGACTCTACCTCTATAGTCTATATATTCTGACAAAGGAATAAAAAAATGATACGTTTTAGCATGTGAAAGATCAAATCCACAAATAGTAAATTCCAATTAAGCAATTGGGTATATATTTTCAAAAGTATTATAAATGTATTAAACTACACCACCAAGCCCTCAAACCCTTAACCACTACTTTTCCTTCCAACAGGAAATAATAGTAAAATATTTAATCAAACATTTAGCTACATCGGAATATCATCATTCATGTTTATTATAAAAAGCTATTAAGCTTTTGTATCTATCATTTTAACTATATTAAAATATTGTTATTCATGTTTAAAACACCTGTAATTTATTACATGTTTGAAATAAATCTATTCAATGATTATTGGAGACTACAACACTTGTCTATTATTTTACAATAATATATGCAATTGATTATGGCATAAGATATAAATGTAAGTAAATAGCATATACTTGTAGATTGTGCAGAATTCATATATAGCATAGGTTTATGCATAGCATAGGTTTATGCATAGCATAGACTTTCTAAAGAAAATTTATATAAGTTTATATATGGTTTCATAAAATGAATGCAAAACATAGACTCATATTAAAAAATATATACAAGTTTTTATACAGCTCTAAGAATGCATGCAGAGCACAGACTCAAATTAGAAAAAATATACAAGTTTTTATACAGCTCTAAGAATGCATGCAGACTGCAGAGCATAGACTCATATTAGAAAATATTTACAAGTTTTTGAACAGCTTCATAGAATGAATGCAAAACATAGACTCATATTAGAAAATATATACAAGTTTTTATACAGCTCTAAGAATGCATGCAGAGCATAGACTCATATTAGAAAATATATACAAGTTTATAAATGGCTACATGTATTAAATGCCGTACTCTTAAAAGTTTGTATCAGTCCAGGTACAATGCTAATACCAGTGGGTGGGATCTCTTTAGTTATTGGTGTCAATATGAACAGTAGCAATCAATTAATCAATAATTAAAAGGATTTTTTGCTAAAAATGTTTTTTTTAATTTATAGGGTAGAGTACAGAGCGGAAAAAAGTCTGGTCTGTAAAAAAATCTAAAATAGCTCATTACTTTTTGTGACTAAAGCTACAGACCTAAAAACTTTATTTTTGAAAAGCCCTTGAAAAATGTATGTAGAAACATGTGTCACACTTTGATATTTGTTTAAAACAAAAAAAACATTTTTTTAAATTTTTTAATCTTTCTTGGGCATTTTTTTCAACCCTGCTCAGCATCCAAACTTTTAAAGTTATCGGTCTAATTTTTTTCTATGAGCTGGTCTTGAAAAATTGGGCTATGAAAATGCATTTCAACCCTACACTTATTCTCTAAGGCCTTTTTAGAGGGGGGAGGGCGCATACATAGATTCAGACCCCCCAGCCTTTATAGGGTTATCACTCAGGACACTAATTACCCCATCAGAGACATGGTAATCTACACACAGGACACTAATAACTCCATCAGAGGGATGGTGCTTAACACTCAGGACAATAATTACTCCATGGGAGGGGTGGTAAATATCACTCAGGACAGTAATTACTCAATAGGAAGGATGGTAATTAATTCGCAGGACACTAATAAATCCTTTGGAGGTTTTGTATTTAACACTCAAGACATTAATTACTCCATCGGTGGTAATGGTAATGGTAATGGTAATCAACACATAGGACAAAAATTACTCCATCGGAAGGATGGTGATTAACACTCAGGACACTAATTACTCTAACCGAGGGATGGACACTAACACTCAGAACACTAATTACTGTATTGATTTTGATTTTAATATTTTAACCATGTAAAAATTTTATATATATAAGGTTTAATAAAATGTTAGCTGGACCACATGATGGCTTTACACACTATGGTGGTAAACAGAAAACTGAATAATAGAAAAATGACTCTAAAGCAATGGTGATGTGCATGTGATGTTGTTACAAAGAAAATAGCTTTGCTAGAAATTTTTAAAATCACTTATTAAGTGTAGTGGGTCTACAATGCACTAATTCTGAGCCTCATGTTCATTAGACTATTAATTGTCCTAACTTCATATTCCAGAGATTTCTGGTTTGTTCTGTAAAAAAAGAACAAAATCATCTGTTTTCATTGTTTTTTTGTTGTTGTAAAATGTATCAGGATTCAATGATAAACCCTTGGGCTACGCCCTTAAATCTCTTGGGGGTTTAAATTTCCATTGATTCAAATTTGTCTGAGAGTAAATGCCATTCTTTTTTAAAGAGGGGATTCATTGATAAACACGAGGGCTTGCGGATTTTGCAGATTTTTTTTTTGCCTTTGTAGATTTTCAAAGTGTCTTTCAATGAAGATATCCCGACGGGATATAATGAAAATTGTTGCATACCAAAAAACCAGCTTTTTATAAAGGAATGATAATTTTATCAATTCTCTAAACAATCCATTTTGTTTGTCCATTGTAGAGTTGAGATAGGATAGTGTGACACACTTTTCAAGTCTAGCTCAATAAAAAATGTTTAAATTGTTAAATTACTTTTTCGCTTATTTCATCCATATTTTTTTGAAAAAAAATGTTTTACTTGATTATTTTCTTTAAAATACTGTAGTGTGTGTCCTATATCAAAGCTTTAACTTAACTGGTATGATATTGGCAGTAGATGAATAATTGCAGATATAAAGCTGTTCTTCAAGATATTCTTGATAGATAAAGATTATTTTCACCTGTATTGTTTTAAATATCTACTTTTGAAAAAGTTAACTGAAGTGGAAAAAGGTTTTTTTTATAATCTTTATTTAAATATTGCTTTCACATGCAATTTTTAAGAAACGACAACATTCTTTCATAAAAAGGGCATTAATAAAAGTAAATTTGTTGAGCTAAAGACCTAAATGAAAGATCAAAATGGGCAATTTCCCAAGGGGTAAATCCCTGGCATCTAAGAATATCAAGAGGATTTGAGGTCAGAGCCTAAGTTATCCTCCCGGGGTGTCTCTTTGGTTCATCAAATTTGATTTCGCCACTCTCTCTACTAAGGTTGTCAACATTAATCAAGCATTGATTTATTTCCAACCTGAAATTAATTACATCCACAAAAATGAAATATTTTATAAATCTTTGACATATATGGTTATGAATAATAATGGGTTTTTAAATATCTTACTATTGGGTGCAAGTAGATTAAATGGGGCTTCTAGTGATCTGGAATAAAACATTTAAACTTCTAAAAATAAAATGACTGTTTGATTGCAAAATCTTGTTCACTGAAAATCACAAATTTTTACATTAGAGGCTCAATATGAGACCAGTGTAATGTTCCTTTGTCATTTGTAAATTTACAACCTAATTGTAAATTGTCATATGTACATAAATTGTAATTTGTGTATAATTCATTGGAAATGTAGTTGTTTATGGATAAAAATATACAAATAAGTGAAGGATTTGTAAATTCTAAATTGTGAATTGTAAATTGTAAATGCCTAAGTGTATAATGACATTATTTGTGCATAATGACATTATTTTAATATTGAATAAACTAATTTGTAAATTGTAAATTGTAAATTGAAAATTGTAAATGCCTAAGTGTATAATTTGCTATTTAAGATTTATTGCATACTCACTTACAAATACGATCACTCTATATACAAGTGTACAGTGTTAGATCCGTAAACATATCGTGATGTATACAACCGACCATCTCTATTAATTAATTAATAGGGAAGTCGGTTGTGTACATCTGAGCTAAGCTTCACCCTTTCGTTTTATTACTCTATATATATGTGTATACATACATTGTATATGTGTATACATTGTATATAGCTTATATCGTATTTATTGTAGGGCAGTGTAAGGTCGGATGATAAACCAGAGAAAGTGTTTACGGTTTTCTTCCCGATTAAAACCCTGGAATCTTTTTCATGTCGGGATCATATAAGAAATTATATTAAAGATTCAGTCCTGTTCCTCGGTTCCCCGGACACTAAGAATCAATGGACCACCTTTATAGAAGAGTGCATGCTAGCCCTCGGTAAGAATGTTAAATATTTATTTATCAAATTTTATAATTTTAAGTCGATAATAAGCTTCGTTTTTGGCACAGAAATTCAACCCCTGACTAACTATCTAACTATCTATGCTAGACCTTTCATATATTTTTCTGCAAATGAACACAGTGCACACATAAATTTGAAGCGTGAGCAGTGCACGAGTGGGTGTTTATTGATTTGTTGGATGTGTGAAAATGTTTGGTTTGGCACCTGAGAAAATCTCAGGTGCCAATCATAGGCTGTACATGTGAGTTTTTACAGTGTCATTGCCCATTCATGTAGATAATTTTAGTACAATAGTACAATGCTAATTTCTCTTTATAGTACAGGATGTCCCACAAAACATGACGCTAGCAGGACAACTTGAAAGTTGTCTTTGAACTTTTAATCTATGGATGACATTCACTTGTCTACCTACTTTCACAGGTGTGATTCTCGAAACATAAACCTCAATAGTGGTCCACCTTTTTGGTGCTGTCAATATTACCTGAGATATTGAAAATTTCGTTCAGATTTCAATTTTATTGAATAAAACCAAAATTGTCAAAATCTGAACGAAATTCTTAAATTCTCCAGTACTATATCTATTTCTAACCTGACGCAAAGTTGGGGCTGGAAGAAAGCCAGGAATTCCAATGGAAGGTTCAACTGGGATTCCTGAGCTGGGTGAGCAGGTCAACCTGCATAGGACAAAAGGCAGTTGATGATGATCTACAGTATGAGGAGGATATTAATTGTGATCTGCTAGAGAAT